AGCCCTAGGCGTGGGGTGGGGTATATGATTTCTGTCTGTGCCTGGCACCAAGCCGGGCTGAGAGAAGCCACAATGTTTGTGGAGGACATAGCCCCACTCTCTGCCCCCAGGTGCCGCTGTCTGAAGGCTGCAGCCAGGCTCTGATGCGTCTCATCGGCTGTCCCCTTTGCCGGGGAGTCCCCTCACTTATGCCCTGCCAGGGCTTCTGCCTCAACGTGGTTCGTGGCTGTCTCAGCAGCAGGGGACTGGAGCCTGACTGGGGCAACTATTTGGGTGAGGGGATTCAAGAAAGCCTGGAGCCAGGCATGGTGGCTCACACCTGTAATCACAGCACTTTGAGAGGCTGAAAGGCAGGAGGATCACTTGAGGCCAGGAGTTGGAACCCATCAGGGGCAACATAGCTAGACATCATCTCAAGAAAGAAAGAAAGAAAGAGAGAAAGAGAGAAAGAGAGAGAGAGAGAGAGAGAGAGAGAGAGAGAGGGAGGGAGGGAGGGAGGAAGGGAGGAAGGGAGGAAGGAAAAAAAAAAAATTAGCCAGGCGTGGTAGCGCCCATGCCTGTAGTCCCAGTTACTCCTGAGGCTGAGGCAGGAGATCACTTGAGGCCAGGAGTTGGAGGCCAGCGTGGGCAATGTAACTAGACCCCATCTCTACCAAAAAAAAAAAAAAAAAAAGAAAGAAAGAACTCATTACGCGTGGTGCCACACATGCCTGTTGTCCCAGTTACTCCAGAGGCTGAGGCAGGAGGCTCCCTTGATCCCAGGAGTTACAGCCTGCAGTAAGCTATGATGGTGCCCCTATACTCTAGCCTGGGCAAGAGAGTAAGACCCTGTCTTTTAAAAAAAATCCTTAAATTGGCCAGGCACAGTGGCTCACACCTATAATCTTAGCACTTTGGGAGACCGAGGCAGGCAGATCACAAGGACAAGGTCAGGAGTTCGAGGCCAGCCTGGCCAATAGGGTAAAATCCTGTCTCTACTGAAAAGAAAAAAAAAAAAAAAAACAAAAATTAGCCGGACATGGTGGTGGGCGCCTGTAGGCTGATGCAGAAGAATTGCTTGAACCCAGGAGGCGGAGGTTGCAGTGACCCGAGATCACGCCAGTGCACTCCATCGAGCCTGGGTGACAGAGGGAGACTGTCTCAAAAAAAAAAAAAAAAAAAAAAAAAAAAAAAAAAAAAAAAATCCTAAAATTTAAATTTAAATTTTAAAAAAGTCTGGAATGGGGGAGGGTCCTGAGTAAGGCTAGGGGTGAACTGGAGAGGGGCTCTAAAGCCAAACTGGGAGAAAACATGGGAGGAAGCTCATGTAAGTTTCCCCGAAACACTCTACTGCTTCTCTAAGGCCCGATTGAGGATTTTCGGGAACATCCTAGTTCAGTATCACCACTCATCCCATCCTTTCTCTTTCTCTGCCTCCCTTAAGATGGTCTCCTGATCCTGGCTGATAAGCTCCAGGGCCCCTTTTCCTTTGAGCTGGCGGCTGAGTCTATTGGGGTGAAGATCTCAGAGGGTTTGATGTACCTGCAGGAAAACAGTGCGAAGGTGTCCGCCCAGGTACGGGGGAGAGAAGGGTGGAGGTGAGACCCGGGGCGGGGACGGTGTGGGTGTCAGGGAGACAGTATAGGGGATCTGAGAAGAGACTCTGGGGTCAGAGTGAGGACGCAGTGTGGTTTCCCCCAAGGGTGACTGTGAGGTCTCTTCCCCGTGCCGCAGGTGTTTCAGGAGTGTGGCCCCCCCCACCCGGTGCCGGCCCGCAACCGTCGAGCCCCGCCGCCCCAAGAGGCGGGCCGGCTGTGGTCGATGGTGACCGAGGAGGAGCGGCCCACGACGGCCGCGGGCACTAACCTGCACCGGCTGGTGCGTGGGGTGACCAAGGAGTTGGGGGCGGGAGGGGCGGGGTCGGGGATGGGGATGGGGGTTGCGCTCCAGCTCGCCCCGCCCCTTCTCTCCTGCCCAGGTGTGGGAGCTCCGCGAGCGTCTGGCCCGGATGCGGGGCTTCTGGGCCCGGCAGTCCCTGACGGTGTGCGGAGACTCTCGCATGGCAGTGGACGCCTCGCTGGAGGCAGCGCCCTGCTGGACCGGAGCCGGGCGGGGCAGGTGAGCCTCGGGGGCGTGGTGGGGCAGCAGGGGGCGGGGCCGCGGCCGGGAGGGGCGGGGCCGCGCGCATGAGCGAGAGCTTCGGGGCTGCTCTGCTCGCAGGTACTTGCCGCCGGTGGTCGGGGGCTCCCTGGCCGAGCAGGTCAACAACCCCGAGCTCAAGGTGGACACCTCGGGCCCCGATGTCCCGACACGGCGGCGTCGGCTACAGCTCCGGGCGGCCACGGCCAGGATGAAGGCAGCCGCACTGGGACATGACCTGGACGGGCAGGACGCGGGTGAGACCCCGGCATTCCTGAGCCTGAGCCCCGCCCACTGCCCTTAAGCCTCTCCCCTCTCCTGGTAGTTCCCGCCCGTGCCTCTGCTCTTAGCATTCATTCATTCATTAATTCATTCAACGAGCATTTATTGAGGGTTGACCTCAAAGACTGGGGGTAACAGATCAATGAGGGGATCTCTATCCTTTCGGGCCAGTAGGGAAGACACGAAAACATTCTTACAGAACAGTGGGAAGACCCTTATAATGGGCAAAGGGCAGTGGGAAATGGGGGAGGGGGCAACTTGGGGGAGGCTGGGAAGCCAGGGTGGTAGGTGACATTGGGTTGCCTCCCCAGAGTGGAATTTGCCAGACAGAGAGGCAAGGCACAGACACTCACTGTTTTCTTCTCTTCTGTCTCTGTCTCTGTCACTTCCCCCACCCCTCTTCCTGGCTGCTCTCTGCTTCTGTGTACTTATGATTTTTCTGTTTTTTCCTGTTATCCTATCTCCCCATCTGCCTGTCTTTTTTCTCTCTGTCTCATTGTCTCCCATCATGATCTCTCCCCGCTATGTCTGCTGTCGGATCTCTCTCTTTCCCTCTCTCCCTGCCTTCCTATCACTCATGGTCTTTCTCCCTTACCCAACCCGGCATCCACCTGTGTCTCCCTCCCCTGCCTCTCTCTTTCTGTTTTTATCTCAATTTCTTTTTCTCTGTCTCCCTGTGCCTCTCCCTCCCATCCCGTCTCTGTCCCTCTTCTTCCTTGCAGATGAGGATGCCAGCGGCTCTGGAGGGGGACAGCAGTATGCAGATGACTGGATGGCTGGGGCTGTGGCTCCCCCAGCCCGGCCTCCTCGGCCTCCATACCCTCCTAGAAGGGATGGTTCTGGGGGCAAAGGAGGAGGTGGCAGTGCCCGCTACAACCAGGGCCGGAGCAGGAGTGGGGGGGCATCTATTGGTTTTCACACCCAAACCATCCTCATTCTCTTCGTCTCAGCCCTGGCCCTGCTTGGACCTCGATAACAGGGGAGGGGTGCCCTAGCATCAGAAGGGTTCATGGCCCTTTCCCCTCCTCCCCCCTCAGCTGGGCCTGGGGAGGAGTCGAAGGGGGCTGCAGAGAAGGTAGAGAAGGGACTTTGCAGGTGAATGGCTGGGGCCCCAAATCCAGGAGATTTTCATCAGAGGTGGGTGGGTGTTCACAATATTTATTTTTTCATTTGGTAATGGGAGGGGGGCCTGGGGTATTTATTTAGGAGGCAGTGTGGTTTCCTTAGAGGGTATAATCTCCAGCCCTCTAAGGCTGGGGCTGGTGATCAGCCCCAACAGAGAAAGTGAGGAGTTTAGAGTTGCAGCTGGGGAAGGGGGTTGAAGGAAGTTGGAAGTTGGGAGGGGTGGGGGCATCTGGTCTCAGAAATGGACAAAGCTGGATGCTGACAGGGTGTGGGGCAGGGGACTGGGGGTGCTTGAGTAGGATGTGAGGCTTCATGGGCCTGGGTTCTGTTGAGGTTTTTCAGTATCAATTTCTTAAACCAAAATTTAAAAAAGACAACGTGGGGGGGTGCTCATCTCGTGACCTCTGCCACCCACATCCTTCACAAATTCCATGTTTCAGTGTTCGAGTCTGTGTTTATTCTGTAAATAAATGGTAATGTATTGGACCCCATGTGTGGCTTCTGTGCTGTCACCGTCAGTGCCTGAGCCCTGGCTTCCAGCAGAGGTCTCAGAGCCTCTCTGACTGGCTCATTTTCTGCCAGCTTTTCACCTCCCTTGGCACCTGTCCCCCAGGAGGCGGGTCTAGGGAATAACCTCTGATCTCCCACCCTCTGGGCCTCTGACTATCTTCGTTTGTACAACAGGGAGAATTGTGGGGACCAAATAGAATCTGTGTGAAAAAGCACCTTGTCACCTGCAAAATGCTCTTTGAACATGAGGCTTTTTTTTTTTTGAGATGGAGTCTCACTGTTGTCGTGAGGGTGGAGTGCAATGGTGCGATCTCGGTTCACTGCAACCTCCCTCCTCCTCCCCAGTTCAAATGATTCTCCTGCCTCAGCCTCCTGAGTAGCTGGGATTACAGGCGCCTGCCACCACACCCAGCTAGTTTTTGTATTTTTAGTGGAGATGGGGTTTCACCATGTTGGCCAGGCTGATCTCGAACTCCTGACCTCAAGCAATCCGCCAGCCTCGGCCTCCCAAAGTGCTGGGATTACAGGCATGAGCCACCACGCCCGGCCACGAGGCATTATTAAGGTGACCACACCACTGTCCCCTGCCTTCAGGATGGGAGGCCTTGTTCTCTGAGCATCAGTCTCTGGCTACCTTGCCATATCTTTGACAATGTCTGCTTTCAAATATCACTTTCTCCTTCCTTCCTTCTTTCTTTCTGCCGCCTGAATGAATCTTTTGTTCTGCGGCAAGCCAAGAGAAAATGGTAGGATTGATTCCCAAGTGTGAAAGGGGGGTGGAAGTGGTGTCTTCCAAGGGGAGTCTGGGTGCCCTGCCGGAGAGGGGAAGATGCAGCGGGGGAGAGACCTAGAACTGCGATCAAAGCTACAGCAGCTGCTGGGGCTGGCGGGACAAAGGGAGGAGGGAGGAGCCTGGGCGCTGAGAAAGTTCTTGGGGAAAGTTGAGCTGAGCCAAGAGTGGGGCGGTGGCTGGGGAGGGCGGGAGGGCCCGGCCTGATTTCCCTTGCTGCTCCCCTTGTGGCCTGGTGAGTGGGAAGTGAAACCAAGGATAGGACCAGTGGAGGGACCTTCTAATTTATGGGAGGAGACGTGAGGGGTTCATGGGACCCCGGCAGGGGCAACTGACTGGGCAGTCACCAAAGCTGGAGGGGACAGAGGGCTGGGATCTCCAATCATGGGAAGGGAGAGATGGATGGAAGGAAATGAAGGGCTCTGGGTAGGGGAGACACAGCTGGACCCCAGAGGCTGTGATCGGGGAGGGAATTGGGGAGTGATGCCAGAGGGGCCGGGTCTCCGGGAGTAAAAGTGTGGCTTCTCTCTGCCTGGGGTTACCCCTGGCTCATCGGAGCAGGGAGCTGTCGGGGCTTGTTGGAGGGGGCTGTGGTCCTTGATCGTGAGTTGTAATCTGAAGGGGCGGGGCTGGACTCCTGGTTGATTAGGAAGCTTGGCTTGAGAAGGAACTCTACAGTTAGTATTTGTGCCTTTCTCCATATCTTTGTGTCATAGTCTCTCTGTCTTTCTGTGTCTGTCTGTCTCTCTCTCTCTCTCTCTCTCTCTCTCTCTCCCTCTCCAGCCCCACCCTTTCAGTCTCCTCCGGGTGCACTGATAAGGTTGGAAAGTGGCATGGAGGGTTAAGTCCGGGAATCTGGGCTTCACAAGTAGCCACACATCTCCCCCAGCCCCTGTCGCACATGGGGGTCTGCCCCGTGCTGAGACAGAGGAAAAAGAGGTGTGGGAATTTAGAACACAGTGGCTCTTGCCCATTGCAATGCCACTCCTGGAAGTCCAACCTCCCTTCCTCCTGCCTGGGTTCATCCACCTGTGTCCTGTCTGATCCTCATTCCCACTGTATGGCTTCCCTTCCTGGCCCTGGGATAGGGCTCTTCATCCCCATCTGTGACACCCAGAGGGGCTCAGGAGGAAGCCAGGGTCCCGACCATAGTCTGACCTGACTGTCTTAATGAGCTGATTGGTCTGATCTCTCTTTTGCTGGCTGTTTCATTCATGAGCTGGGGCTTTTTCTCTCCTTCCCTTCTAAGTCCCCGAGGCTCAGGGACAACTGTAGGTGGGGAGCTGGGGGAATTGGAGATAAGACAGTGATAGAGCGGAGGGAGTAGTTGTGGGGCCACCTAGGACAGTCTGGGTGTAGACCGCATTCCCAGCCACTCCCCTTCCCTGAATCAGGTCTCAGCTGCAGCAGGAGAGAAGGTTCACTCTGCCTCTCTCCTTAGACTTCCCTTCTTCCCCCCTCATTTCCCTCCTAGACGCTGACAGAGGCAAAAATCTGCTAACTCAGGGGGCAGACTCAACCAAGACTGCAAACAGGCCTGGGGAATGACCCCCCGATCTGCAACCGGCGCCTTCCGCGGCTGCACGGCTTTCTCCAGCTGTCTCTGCCCCTGTTCCTGGCCCTGGCTCCATCCCTCTCTCATCTCACCCTTCCCTGTGCCACATGGGCCCTCTGTCTCCTGCCAGGACGCTGCGGCTCTGGGGACCTCGGAGCCTAGGGGTGGCTCTGGGAGTCTTCATGACCATTGGCTTTGCACTCCAGCTCTTGGGAGGGCCCTTCCAGAGGAGGTAAGTTCCCACTTTGCCCCAGCTCCTTCTAGATGCCCCACACTTGCTCTTCCCCATCCCGCCTGGGGCTGGTGACTCTTAGGGACTCGGAAGCCTCCATGTCCTCTGTCCCTTCCACCCATTTGCTGCTGAGGGACAGGACACTCCCCCTGCATCTCTTCCCAGGCTACCAGGGCCACAGCTCCGACAGCCCTTGGCCCCATCTCTACGACCAGCCCTTCTGTCCTGCCCACCCCGGCAGCGACTGGTGTTCCTGAAGACGCATAAATCTGGGAGCAGCTCTGTGCTGAGCCTGCTTCACCGCTACGGGGACCGGCACGGGCTGCGCTTCGCCCTCCCTGCCCGCTACCAGTTTGGCTACCCAAGGCTCTTCCAGGCCTCAAGGGTAAAAGGCTACCGCCCCCAGACTGGAGGCACCCAGCTCCCCTTCCACATCCTCTGTCACCACATGAGGTTCAACCTGAAAGAGGTAAGGAGTGTCGCAGGGGTGGGAGGGACCAGCAAGAGATGGGCTCAGGCTGACACCACCAAGGGAGGGGGCCCAGACTTGAGGGCTCCCCAGGCATCATCTCACCCTAAAGTTGGACACGGGGGCCATAAAGGTGGGGCTCCCTGCCATCCTCTCTACAGGTGTCCCTTCCCCCGAAGTTTCTGGGAGCCCAAGTCCTCCTCTCTCCCTTCTCTCTCTGGCGCTTACTACAGTCTCTCTCTTTCACCAATGTATTTCCCTGGCATCAGTGCCCTGCCAATTTCGAGCCTCCAACTCTCCCTCCAGGTGCCCCTTACCCTTCTTTTTTTTTTATTTCTTGGAAGACAGGGTCTTGCTCTGTCGCCCAGGCTGGAGTACAGGGGCACAATCATAGCTCTTGACTTCCCAGGCTCAAGGGATCCTCCCACCTCAGCCTCCTGAGTAGCTAGGGCTAAGGCATGTGCCACTACACATGGCTACTTTCTAATTTTTTTGTAGAGATGGGGTCTTGCTATGTTGCCCAGACTGATCTCAAACACCTGGGCTTAAATAAATAAATAAATACTCCTGGGCTCAAGCCATCTGCTCACCTTGGCCTCCCAAAGGGTTGGGATTACAGAAGTGAGCTTGCCCAGCCTCTGTGTGTATATGTGTGTGTGTGTGTGTGTGTGTGAGAGAGAGAGAGAGAGAGAGAGAGACAGGGTCTCACTCTGTCATCCAGGCTAGAATGCAGTGGTGCAATTATAGCTCACCGCAACTTCAAACTCCTGGGCTCAAGCGATCCTTTTACCTCAGCCTCCCAACTAGCTGCGACTACAGGTGCACGCCACCACACCTGGCTAATTTTTTTTTATTTTTTGTAGAGATGGGGTCTCACTATGTTGCCCAGGCTGGCCTCAAACAATCCTCCCACCTCAGCCTCGCAAGTACCTAGGACAACATGCCCCTTCCCTTTCTTAGCCTCCCTTCCACTGTCACACCAGGGCCCCAGCTCCCCCACTGCCTTCTGACTTGTCTTCTTCAACCTCCTCACCATGTCTGCCACATTTTGAGGATCAGCTGTACGTTTAGCCCGGGGCTAAGCCCAGCACTTTGGGAAACCAACAGGGGCAGATCACGTGAGGTCAGCTGAGAATAGCTGGGTGGAAGCCCAATCCTGACCTCCAGGAACTTCTATTCTAATGGGGGAGAGAAGAACATACACATTCACATACTCAGACACACACAGGAAGCTGAGGGCTCCTATAGGAAGAAAATCAATGTGTAATTGAAACATACGGGGAAGAAACTAAACTGAATATTTACCAATGCTGAGTACTAATCTTCCCATCACCTTGCCAAGAAGGCATTTTAAGTGTCTCCATTACACATATGTGGAGTTCGAGTCTCAGGGAGGTGAAGAGACTTTCACAGTTAGAAAATGGCACCCAGTAGCCACAGTGGCTCACGCTTATAATCCCAGCACTTTAGGAGGCTGAGGCGGAGAATCACTTGAACCCAGCAGTTTGAGACCAGCCTGCCCAATATAGCGAGACCCCACCTGTACAAAAAATTTAAAACATCAGGCAGGTGTGGTAATGCATGCCTGTAGTCTCAGCTACTCAGGAGGCTGAAGCAGGAGGATTGCTTGAGCCCAGGAGTTGGAGGCTGCAGTGAGCTATGATTGTGCAACTGCACACCAACCTGGGTGACAAAGCAAGATCCTATTGCTAAAAACATAAAGATTAAGGCCAGGCATGGTGGCTCACGTCTGTGATCTTCACACTTTGGGAGACTGAGGCAGGAGAATCACTTGAGCCCAGGAGTTCAAAAGTAGCCTGGGCAACATAGCAGACTCCGTCTCTACAAAAAGATAAACATAAATAAAAATAGCTAAGGGCAGTGGTGCAAGCCTGAAGTCCCAGCTACTCAGGAGGCTGAAATGGGAGGACCACTTGAGCCAAGGGAGTCGAGGCTGCAGTGAGCCAAGATCATGCCACTGTACACCAACCTGGTGGCAGAATAAGACCCTGTCTTGAAAGATGAATAAATAAATAGGCTGGGCACGGTGGCTCACACCCGTAATCCCAGCACTTTGGTAGACCAAAGTGGGCAGATCACCTGAGGTCAGAAGTTCGAGACCAGCCTGGCCAACATGGTGAACCCTGTCTCTATTAAAAATGCAAAAATTTGCCAGGTGTGGTGGTGCATGCCTGTAATCCAAGCTACTTGGGAGGCTGAAGCAGGAGAATTGCTTGAACCTGGGAGGTAGAGGTTTCAGTGAGCTGAGATCGTGCCACTGTGCTCCAGCCTGGGCAACAGAGTGGGACTCCGTTTCACAAAAGAAAAAAAAAAAAAAAGGAAAGAAAGATAAATAAATAAATAAAATTGAAAATGAAAGTGGCAGAGCTGGAAGTTGAGCCCAGGTCCATGCACTCCAAAGTCAAGGCTCCAGCTGGAAGTTGAGCCCAGGTCCACGCACTCCAGAGTCAAGGCTCCTTCCGAGGCTTGTGCGTGCGTTTGTATCTGGAATGGTGAGAAGAGTATTCACCAAAGAGGTGAGGCTTTCTGGAGAGGGGGGTTTATTTTACTTTATTATTTAATTTTGATGTTATTTATTTATTTATTTTGAGACAGAGTCTTGCTCTTTTCCCCGGGCTGGAGTGCAGCGGTGCCACCTCAGCTCACTGCAACCTGTGCCTCCCGGGTTCAAGCAATTCTCGTGCCTCCCAAGTAGCTGGGACTACAGGCACCTGCCACCACGCCTGGCTAATTTTTGTACTTTTAGTAGGGATGGAGTTTCACCATGTTGACCAGGCTGGTCTCAAACTCCTAACCTCAAATGATCCGCCCGCCTCGGCCTCCCAAAGTGCTAGGATTCCAGGTGTGAGCCACTGTGCCCAGCCGAGAGTAGGGGGTTTTAAAGGAAAAGGTGGATGTGGCTTGTGGTAAGGACAGCATGAGGCATTCTTAGAGGGAGCAAAACACCAGCAAGGACATGGTGGGGTAAATGTGTGTATGTGCATATAAAAGGGAGAACGTCTGTACTGGTGTGGAAGTTCTGCAGGGTCTGCAAAGTCACCCTTGTTGAAGCTGGAGCTGGAGACACCAGCTGAGGACATGGGCATGCTCTAATGGGCAGCGAAAGGCCACTGGCAGGAGTGAGGCAATGACAGTGACCTTTGAGGTAGGTTTCTCCAGAGGCTAGGATGATGGCCTTCATTGACACCACCATTCACTGAATATCTACCATGTTCCAGACACTTGCACATTCTTCCAGGTAAGTGTTACCCAGTTACTCCGATTTCTAGATGGAGGAATGATGGCTCTGAAACCTTCGATAACCCTCCCAAAGTCACAGAATTAGTAAATGGCAGAGTGGGATTTTATTCCAGGTCCAGATGCCAAAGACTGTTTTCTTCACTTTCCCCTCTGCCTTCAAAGAGACCTGCAGGGCCAGGCATGGTGGCGCATGCCTGTGATCCGAGTGCTTTTGCATGCTAAGGTGGGAGGATTACTTCAGCCCAGGAGTTCGAGGCCAATCTGGGCAACATAGCAAGACCCCATCCCTACAAAAAAAATTAAGAATTAACAGGGTATGTTGGTGTGTGCCTGTAGTCCCAGCTACTCAGGAGGCTGAGTTTGGGGAATCCCTTGAGCCCAGGAGTTTTCAAGGCTGCAGTGAGCTATGATATGCCGCCTAGGTGACAGAGCAAGAAAACACTGTCTCTTAAAAAATAATAAGAGGCTGGGCGTGGTGGCTCACGCCTGTAATCCCAGAACTTTGGGAGGCCGAGGAGGGCGGTTCACGACGACAGGAGATCGAGACCATCCTGGTGAAACCCCGTCTCTACTAAACAAAATACAAAAAATTAGCCGGGCATGGTGGCAGGTGCCTGTAGTCCCAGCTACTCAGGAGGCTGAGGCAGGAGAATGGCGTGAACCCGGGAGGCGGAGCTTGCAGTGAGCCGAGATCGCTCCACTGCACTCCAGCTTGGGCGACAGAGTGAGACGCCGTCTCAAAAAAGTAAGAAGAATAAGAATAAGAAGAAAATAAACACTGAAAAGTTTTATTTGAAAAATACTAATTTCCTGTCCCCCCCCCCAAAAAAAAAAGAGCGTTCACAGGCTGCTATTCAGGTGAGCCATATTTGCAGAGCCGATTGAGGAACACCATGACAGAAGTCAGATTCAATGATGGAAGTCATTTTTGGAGGCAGAAACCCTTTAAGGAGATCAGGAGCTAGGCTCTGACCTGCATCAGCCTGCAGGGCCATGTTAGGGTGTGGTGCAGCCTGATTTCCACCTTCCTTCTTGCAGAATGGTGGAATCACATGTCCCAGCCCTCAGGGCAGCATCCTACCAGGCACCCAGTGCCCCGGCCCAGGGTGTCTTTTGTTCTCTGGGATGCCCAGGAGTCCCTGAAGTGCTTTACCCCTCAGTGATTCTGGGCCTGGCCTGCCCACCTGCTGCCTATGCCTGAGATGGCATTATAGTTGCCCCTTTGCTGCCAGTGATGCCTCTCCCAGGCACTCAACAGGTTTTTGCTGGAGAAATGAGTACAAAGGTTGGTTTCTAGAGGTTTTACTGACTAAGGCAGACAGAAATGCCCGAGGAAATTAATGTTCTCCAGGAGTTTCCTATCCTCCAGGTTTCCTTCCCTCCCTTCTTTCTCTTTTTTCTTTTTCTTTTTTTCCCTTCCTTTCCCTCCCCTCCCCTCCCCTTAAAAATTAGTGCCTGGCTAATTTTTAAGTTCTGGGATACATGTGCAGAATATGTAAGTTTGTTACATAGGTATACATGTGCCATGGTGGTTTGCTGCACCTATTAACCCGTCATCTAGGTTTTAAGCCCTGCATGCATTAGGCATCCATCCTAATGCTCTCTCTTCCTTTGCCCCCGATCCCCTGACAAGCCCCTCCCCTCCCCTTCCCCTCCCTTTACTCCCCTCCCCTTCCCCTCCCTTTACTCCCCTCCCCTCCCCTCCTTCCCCCTCTTGCTCTGGCTCTCTTTCTTTTTTTTGAGACAGAGTCTCACTTTGTTGCCCAGGCTGGAGTGCAGTGGCGTGATCTCGGCTCACTGCAACCTCTGCCACCCAGCTTCAAGCAATTCTCCTACCTCAGCCTCCCGAGTAGCTGGGATTACAGGCACCTGCCACCGTGCCCAGCTAATTTTTTGTAGTTTTAGTAGAGATGGGGATTTCACCATCTTGGCCAGGCTGGTCTTGAACTCTTGACCTTGTGATCCACTTGCCTCAGCCTCCCAAACTGCTGGGATTACAGGTGTGAGTCACTGCACCCGGCCCCTTTCTTTCAAGGCAGAGTCTTGCTATGTTGTTCAGGCTTGTCTTGAACTCCTGAACTCAAGCAATCCGACCACCTCAGCCTCTTAAGTAGCTGGGACTACAGGTGTGTGCCAGGATACCCTGCTAATTTATTTTTATTTTACTTTAAGTTCTGGGATATATGTGCAGAGCACATAGGTTTGTTACATAGGTACACATGTGCCAAGGTGGTTTGCTGCACTGATCAACCCGTCATCTAGGTTTTAAGCCCTGCATGCATTAGGTATTCGTCTGAATGCTCTCCTTCCCCTTGCTCCCCACCCCGACAGGCCCCAGTTTGTGTTGTTCCCCTCCCTCTGTCCATGTGTTCTCACTGTTCAGCTCCCACTTACTTACGAGTGAGAACACGTGGTGTTTGGTTTTCTGTTCCTGTGTTAGTTTGCTGGAGTAGGTTAGTTTGCTGAGCACCATGATGGCTTCCAGCTTCATCCATGCACCTGCAAATGACATTATCTCATTCTTTTTTATGGCTGGATAGTATTCCATGGTGTATATGTGCCACATTTTCTTTATCCAGTCTATCATTGATTGCCCTGCTAATTTTTTTAGTTTTATTTTTGTAGAGGCAAGGTCTCGCTATGTTGTCCAGGCTGGCCTCGGCAACATAGCAATGCTCAAGCCATACTCCTGCCTCAGCCTCCCGAGTAGCTGCATCGACAGGCACACAAAACATGCCTGGCTCCATCCTCCAGGTTTCTTCGTATGTTTTATCTCATGTATCTTTCATAATCACTTGGGAAAGTATGATTATCCTCATTTTGCAGGTAAGCAAATTGAGTCTCAGGGATGTTAAGTAACTTGCCACGCAACAAGTGATGGAAGCTGGGGATTCCTAGCAGAGCTGGGAGAAGGAGGTTTGAGGAGGCCGGGTCAGTGGACACATGGCTTGTGCATACTTATGCATACCTTCTCCCCAGCCCAATTCTCTCTCTTCTGTCTTCCCTCCTCTGCAGGTACTTCAAGTCATGCCTTCTGACAGCTTCTTTTTTTCCATTGTCCGAGACCCAGCGGCTCTGGCTCGCTCTGCCTTCTCTTATTATAAATCCACCTCATCAGCCTTCCGCAAGTCACCATCCTTGGCTGCCTTCCTGGCCAATCCTCGAGCCTTCTACAGGCCTGGGGCCCGTGGGGACCACTACGCTCGCAACTTACTATGGTTTGACTTTGGCCTGCCCTTTCCCCCAGAGAAGAGGGCCAAGAGAGGGAATCTTCATCCCCCCAGAGACCCCGACCCCCGACAGCTTCAGGTCTTGCCTTCTGGTGCTGGCCCTCGAGCCCAAACCCTCAATCCCAATGCCCTCATCCATCCTGTTTCCACTGTTGCTGATCATCGCAGCCAGATATCAAGCCCTGCCTCTTTCGATTTGGGGTCTTCATCCTTCATCCAGTGGGGTCTGGCCTGGCTGGACTCTGTCTTTGACCTGGTCATGGTGGCTGAGTACTTCGATGAGTCATTGGTTCTGCTGGCAGATGCCCTGTGCTGGGGTCTAGATGACGTGGTAGGCTTCATGCACAATGCCCAGGCTGGACGTAAGCAAGACCTCAGCACTTTCAGCAACACTGGACTGACTGCAGAGGACCAACAGCTGACTGCACGGGCCCGAGCCTGGAACAACCTGGACTGGGCTCTCTACGTCCACTTCAACCGCAGTCTCTGGGCACGGATAGAGAAATACGGCCAGCGCCGGCTGCAGACAGCTGTAGCCGAGCTCCGGGCTCGCCGAGAGGCCCTAGCCAAACATTGTCTGGCAGGGGGTGAGGCTTCTGACCCCAAATACATCACTGATCACCGGTTCCGCCCCTTCCAGTTTGGGTCAGCTAAGGTTTTGGGCTATATACTTCGGAGTGGATTGAGCCCTCAGGACCAAGAGGAGTGTGAGCGCTTGGCTACCCCTGAGCTCCAGTATAAGGACAAGCTGGATGCCAAGCAGTTCCCCCCTACCGTCTCACTGCCTCTCAAGACTTCAAGGCCACTCTCCCCATAGACATCAGACTACAGATTTAGGTGGAAGAGCAGCCACGTTTGAAGGGCACATGTGATGAGTGGGGAGCAGCAAGATGCCACTTCTGCATCTCCCAGAGGGATGAGTCTTTGTCCTGATGCAAGCGTCCTCTTTGCTGGGCTCCCAACAGTGCTTTCCTCCTTCACCCTCTACTCATTTTGTTCTTTCTTCCCCATTTTTCTTTTTTTTTTTAATTTTTTTTTGAGATAGAGTCTCGCTCTGTCCCCCAGGCTGGAGTGCAGTGGCATGATCTCGGCTCACCGAAACCTCTGCCTTATGGGTTCAAGTGATTCTCCTGCCTCAGCATCCAGAGTAGCTAGGATTACAGACGTGTGCCACCATACCCGGCTAATGTTTTTTTTGTTTTGTTTTTTTGAGACAGAGTCTCGCTCTGTTGCCTGGCTGGAGTGCAATGGCACCATCTTGACTTACTGCAACCTCCGCCTCCCAGGTTCAAGTGATTCTCCTGCCTCAGCCTCCTAAGTAGCTGGGACTACAGGTGTGCACCACCATGCCCGGCTAATTTTTTAATTTTTTTTTTTTTTTTTTTTTTTGAGACGGAGTCTCACTCTGTAGCCCAGGCTGGAGTGCAGTGGCCGGATCTCAGCTCACTGCAAGCTCCGCCTCCCGGGTTCACGCCATTCTCTGGCCTCAGCCTCCCAAGTAGCTGGGACTACAGGCGCCCGCCACCTCGCCCGGCTAGTTTTTTTTTGTATTTCTTAGTAGAGACGGGGTTTCACCGTGTTAGCCAGGATGGTCTCGATCTCCTGACCTCGTGATCCACCTGTCTTGGCCTCCCAAAGTGCTGGGATTACAGGCTTGAGCCACCGCGCCCGGCCATTTTTTAATTTTTAGTAGAGATGGGGTTTCACCATGCTGGCCAGGCTGGTCTCGAACTCCTGACCTTGTGATCCGTCCGCCTCAGCCTCCCAAAGTGCTGGGATTACAGGCGTGAGCCACCGCACCCGGCCTAATTTTTATATTTTTAGTAGAGACAGGGTTTCAACATGTTGGTCAGGCTGGTCTTGAACTCCTCACCTCAGATGATCCACACGCCTCTGCCTCCCAAAGTTCTGCCATTATAGGCGTGAGCCACTACGCCTGGCTTCCCCTTCCCCTTTCTTGCCCCAAGGCAGATCCACATCACCAAAGCTCCCTAGGTGGGCAAAAGATGGAGTGAGCCACAGAAAGTTTGAGGCGTGGTGAGTTGGAATGATACATCCATTTCTCTATGAAATATTTGCTACTAGACTGTTCATTTCTCTCTGAAATATTTGTTGAATGAATAAATAATTTGAAACTTCTACTTGATTTATGGAGGATGGAAAGGGGAGGGATGGAGAATCTTCCTGGAAGAAGTGGGGTTGGAAGGTTTATTTATTTATTTATTTATTTATTCATTTTTTGAGACAAGATCTCACTCTGTCATCCAGGCTGCACCAGTGTCCCAATCATAGCTCACTTCAGCCTCAAACTTCTGGGCTCAAAGGATCCTCCTGCCTAGGCCTTCTAAGTAGCTGGGAGTACAGGCGCGCGCCACCGCACCCGGACAATTTATTTAAAGTTTTTGCAGAGAGGAGGTCTTGCTATGTTGGCCAGGGAGGTCTTGAACTCCAGGCCTCAAGCAATCCTCCCGCCTCGGCCTCCCACAGTGCTGGGATTACTGCCGTGAGCCAACACGCCTGGCCGACAGGGTTCTTACATTTCTTTTCCAAGACGCCTGGCCGCAGCCCCGGCCTGCATTCTCTCAGCCTCAGAGCAGCGGGACCCCGCCCCCTCCTCCACGGTCCGGGCACCCGCAGATTCCGGGGCCACGGCGGCCACGCCCCCTCCCTTCCGCTTCCGGTTTCTCTCCAGTCATTCGGCTCAGTACCCCGGTTCCGGCGCCGCCGGGTCTCGGTTCCGGATTTGTTGCCCGGGTGCCGGGACCGGGCCGGTCTCTCGGGCCGCCCCAGCCGCGCGCAGCAGCCCGAGGTGTCGGGACCCTCTGGACCTACCCTAGAGGGCCCCGCTGGGGGTCGGCCTCCGGTCCGGGCTCCCGGTCGCGCCGTCCTCGCCGCCCCATGGAGTCCCAGTGTGACTATTCGATGTACTTCCCGGCCGTGCCGCTGCCGCCGCGCGCGGAGCTGGCAGGGGACCCGGGCCGGTACCGGGCGCTGCCCCGGCGCAACCATCTGTACTTGGGGGAGACTGTCCGGTTTCTGCTGGTGTTGCGCTGCCGGGGCGGTGCGGGGTCCGGCGCCGGGGGCAGCCCGGGCTTGGGCTCCAGAGGAGCCTGGGCAGAACTGGCAACCGCCCTGGCCGCCCTGGCCTCGGTCAGCGCCGGAGGCGGGATGCCGGGTGGCGGCGGTGCCGGCGACCAGGATTCGGAGCCCCCAGGGGGAGGGGATCCTGGGGGTGGGGGTTTGTTCCGAGGCTGCAGCCCCCTTCTCACCCACGGCCCGGGCCCTGCTACCTCAGGGGGAGCGACCACGGTGAGGAGCTTTGGGGGACCCGGCACAGGGCGGAGGGGGTTTGCTGGGGGCGTAAAGCAGGAGGCAGATGACCTGCTGGTCTTAAAGGGAAAGGCTGCAGGCTGCCTCTGACTTGCTCCTGACCTCTTCATCCCTTTCCCAACCCCAGCTGCCTGTGGAGGAACCGATTGTTTCCACAGATGAGGTCATCTTCCCACTCACCGTTTCACTGGATAGACTGCCCCCAGGGACACCTAAGGCCAAGGTAAGATGAGCAAGGAGTGGAGCTGTTGTCCTAATTAAGACACCTTTTCCGGGCTCAGCCATCTGTCTTTCCTCTTGACAGATTGTAGTGACTGTGTGGAAGCGGGAGGTTGAGGCACCAGAGGTCAGAGATCAAGGCTACCTGCGATTGCTGCAGACCCGATCTCCTGGGGAGACATTCCGGGGCGAGCAGAGCGCTTTCAAGGCCCAAGGTGGGCAGGACAACGAAGAGGCGAAGGGCTAGAGTCTCTCGGAATTGAGGGAGAGAGGGGAGGGGTCACACTGGAAAGTGGCTAATGGGCTCTGAGAAGAGGAAGGTGAGAATTCTGGGTTGGAGGTGAGGTCAGCCCCCAGACCATCACTTCTTGCCCCCAACCCCTCCCGCAGTGAGCACGCTGCTGACTCTGCTGCCCCCTCCGGTTCTGAGATGCCGGCAGTTCACTGTGGCTGGAAAACACTTGACCGTGCTCAAGGGTAAGCAGGTCTGCCAGCTCCAGCCTCGGGGAGCAGCAAGGGAACTGATTGGATGCAGTTCCTCTGGGCAGGCTGGTGGGATCCGGTTTTTTCTGGGTAAAGGTGGGGCCTGAGGGGTCCAGCTATTCTGAGCCAAGCTGGTCCTCTCCCACAGTGCTGAACAGCTCCTCTCAGGAGGAAATCTCCATCTGGGATATCCGAATCCTCCCCAACTTCAACGCCAGTTATCTACCTGTCATGCCCGATGGCTCTGTGCTGCTGGTGGACAATGTCTGGTGAGGTCCTGGGAGGGGCGAGGCTGTGAAGTGGTGGGGATGGCTTCAGGGACTGAGCTCTGGCATGGGGAGACCATGCCTTGTTCTCTTTTCTGAGCTAGTCACCAGTCTGGGGAAGTCTCCATGGGCTCCTTCTGCCGCCTACCTGGGACCTCTGGCTGCTTCCCCTGCCCACTGAATGCCCTGGAGGAACACAACTTCCTGTTTCAGCTGCGAGGGGGTGAGCAGCCCCCTCCAGGGGCCAAGGAGGTGAGCATAAGGGGCTGGTGTGTTCAAAGAAAAGTGATAAGGCAGTGGGAGGGAAAGACCATGCAGCTGACTCAAGATGGGAGGGGCACTCTTAATACCTGCCCCAACCCCCTTTGTCCCTCCCGCAGGGCCTGGAAGTTCCCCTGATTGCTGTGGTTCAGTGGTCCACCCCAAAGCTGCCCTTCACTCAGAGCATCTACACCCACTACCGGTGAGTGTGGATCCCGGAGGAACTGTGGCATTCGCCTTTGTGGCTTAACACACACAGCCAGCATCCCTCTCTCACCACTCCTAGCCTGCCCAGTGTCCGCCTGGACCGCCCGTGTTTCGTGATGACCGCTTCTTGTGAGTCCCCTGTTCGGACCTACGAGCGATTCACTGTCACCTACACTTTGCTCAACAATCTCCAAGACTTCCTTGCTGTGAGGCTCGTGTGGACCCCAGAGCATGCACAGGCTGGTAGGTCAGCTGCCAGGTGGGGATCTGATCCCCAGGGAGGAGAAAAGAAAGGAAAAAGTCAGGAAGGCTGGACAGTGATAACAGCCAAACTTGGTGCCAGCCCCACCACAGGAGGTGACTTGTGGCAGGTGGCTTCCGCCCTGTACCTGGGTCATCTCCCCAGTGTCCTAGATGGAGAGTTTAGAGAGGCAGTGGGGCAGAGTGACTTTCAGGGCATAGACATTGGAGCTGCACTTGCTGGTGTGAACTCTACTTCTCTCTTTTACTAGCTGTGTGACCTTGAATAAGTTACTTAACCTCTCTGGGCCTCAGAGTCCTCACCTCTAAAATACAGCAACTCATATCTCATGGGGTTGTCATGCAGATACTGAGTTAATATACATGACATGCCTTGCACACAGTAAGTATTAGCCGTTGTTATCTACAACATGCACAAAAGATAACGTTTGCTCAGTTTACTCCACAGAGTGGCTTTGAGAATCAGATGTGCTGGCGAAGGCCCTGTGGGAATGAGGAACGCTGTAGTGTTTGCTGGTCCCTGTTTCTGCCCCCAGGAAAGCAGCTGTGTGAGGAGGAGCGCCGGGCTATGCAGGCTGCCCTGGACTCCATCGTCTGCCACACGCCTCTCAACAACCTCGGCTTTTCCCGGAAGGGCAGCGCTCTCACGTTCAGTGTGGCCTTCCAGGCTCTGAGGACGGGACTTTTCGAGGTGGGCTGGGGAGGGTCTGAGCTGAGTGCTGAGTGATGCAGAATGCTGGGGTGGATGGAGGCAGGACCCTTAGATTTTAGGGATGAAATAAAAAGCTGGGCAGAGGGAAGGTGGGATTTAGATTTGACATCAGTCTGTCACATGGGGAAGACCATTTGGAAGGAGGCCTGGGCCCTGGAAGCTGAGCTGGCATGCTGACCTGCGTCTCCCCCCAGCTAAGCCAGCACATGAAACTGAAGCTGCAGTTCACCGCCAGCGTGTCCCACCCTCCACCCGAGGCCCGGCCTCTCTCCCGCAAGAGCAGCCCCAGCAGCCCTGCTGTCCGGGACTTGGTGGAGAGG